CTTCATTCCATCCACCTTTTTTTGGCGTTTAATGCTCTTGACCTCATCCTCCTTTTGGTCTTGTATTAAAAAATTATTTAATATCATTTTACTTAAATTTCCTAATATTAATAAAAACATTATTACTATCACAATCTCCAATAATTTTTTTATTAAAATTGAAAATTGGAGCAAAAGATATTCTAGAACTTTTTAATTTTTAAATTAAAAATTCATAATTAATAATTATTAAAATTGAAATTACAAAAGTAATTGATATTTAGTTAGATATGGATTCAATTCCAATTACTAATAAACCACTGTGACCAGGGTATCATTCTTTATATAAGTATTAGTATTCATTAGAGTGGTTCATTCTGTACACACAAAGCTGGTCCATCCTGTACCACATGGTAGTTGGACACTAAAACGGACATGCCAAATAAATTAAAAAGGATAAAGGTGTCAAATCAACACTATCGTGTTCAGAAAGCATTATTTTATAGAAACTGACAAAAAAACAAAAACATACCGCTCGAAATTTTTCTAAAACACTCAAAAAGAAACAGACGAATATTTCACTTTTTCTCGCAAAAAAAGGAAAAGTGAAACAGTTAAATCGGCTACTAAAAACATTTAATAAAATTTACATCTGGTTATAGAAAGCCAAGAGACGTATATGAATTTAAATTTTAAAAAAATGTTAGCGCATGTTTACTATTTTTAATTTCGAAGGTCCTTTCGGTACCTGGTCCATTCGACCCCAGTCTCCCCTATCCTTAGAATATTCACATAAATTAAAATTACTTTAGTATTCACATATATATATATTTTACTCTCAACATTCTATGACTTTGAGTTCATTATAATCGAACATTTAAATTTGCGTTCAGAAAACAAAATTTATCAGTTGACAAAAGCGGTACAAATCATTATTAAATAAATCATATCTAAACTGAATTCAATAAAAAAATGAAATCAAACGATTCAATCATTTATATTAGCATATTTATTTTTATGCAAATTTTTTTGAATTTAAAAAAATTATCATTGAAATTGTGTTAAGTCTTCGAAAAATTTTATTTCTTTCTTGATCCAGCAAGGTTCGGACACAACTCGTTTTCAAAATTTCTCGGCATTATATAACCATCTTGCTTTTTACTAAAAATAAAGTATTAATGTAATAAGAAAAAATTAATTTTTTATATTATATACATATCAACAGCAATTATTTGCTACCTCATCTATTTTTTATGCTGTTTTTATTTTTAACAGCTAACCTTGTAGAAAAATAATTATAATGAAGATACATATTAAAAATATTTCTCAAAAATTAACTCCTATTTTCTCGTTTATGTATGTGTTTTCCAGTATTCACTGCACATTATAAATGCATTCTCTGTACAGTTAATTAAAGACCATATTTGAACAAGAAAATTAAAAACATAGCATGAAAATCAATGAGAAGACCTGTATTGTTGCAAGTACTCCTCAACAGCATTCATGTCCTCAGTGCTGATGTCTCCATCTATGTTAGCCAGGTACTTGTAAAGGTTTTTAAAAAGTATAAATGGGATTTTGGAGGCACCTCCTTCAGCATCATGAGTCACAATTTCACAAATATTTCTCATTGCACCAGTTATATCCTTTCAAAAATTAATTCAAGGACGACTTAAATTGACTAAATGCATAATTTATATCGCTCTTTAAAAAAATTCCAAAAATAAAAACTTGAAATTTTTATTAATTTATTATAATAATAAAATTTAAAATAATAAAACGAAATGACTAAAATAAATTCTTTTTTAAATAAACGATGAAAGCCTCACTGATGCAATACTTGATGCAGCCAAAGCTAAAAATTCACTCCATTGAACATAACCAGTGAAATTACCAATTCTCACCAAATCATCAAACAACTCTTTTGGCATTGTCAAATCTAACCATTTATTTTCAATCATTGAGATAGGTACAACTTTTTTAGGTCCAAGCTGTCAATGTTTATAATTTTTAAACTTAATACAAATTTTTAAAAAACTGTTTTTCATGTGATAAATTTGATACATCATTCTATATTCACCTGTCTATTCAGTACTTTCAAAAGACCTTTCGTCAAGCCTGTGTCTGTTTTTAAAGAAGCAGATGGCATTTCCAAGCGATCTTTTACTGGTGGGATCTCCCCATTTGCCATTGCTGAAAAGTAACTAAAAATATAATTAATAAAAATTTTTATGGAATTACACACTTTCTAAATAAACAAATCAATAAATTTTGAACAATTAAAAAATTAGTGAAAAAAGTAGTTTAAAAATAAATTAATGGTAAAGTATAGTATACTTTTCTAAAGATTAATTGAATCAATTATATGATATTTGATAAATTTTGATATATAATTGGTTTTTAGGATTCAATTTCAATGGACCGCTAACCTTACTAAATTTTAACAAACTTATTATTTTATTCTATAATTTTATTTTATATCATAAAGAAATTAGAAAAGAAATCAAGAAAATGAAATTTTGCCAATGAGTTATTATTAATGTTGTAGTTGCAGGAATTATAACGTCAATCATCAACATATTTAATTTAATATTATTATAATATGGTCACTGTATTTAAATTTAATGAACTACTAATTCTAAAAATTAATATTGAAGTAAAAACTTTGAAATGATCTGTTGAAGTTTGGTATGATATTCATTGGAGACTATAAATAAGTGAGTGGCAACATTTTTTCAATTAAAATTTAACTTGAAAAAATACTAACGCTGCAGACCAAGCGAGGACATCTTGCGGCTGCGTTCTAATGGCGGCTTTTGTAAATTGCTTGAGAACATCTGGCAAGTCGGGTGGAATCTTAATTTGCTGAGAACAATAATAAGGTTCATCTATCATAGGCATGTTTGTTCAAAAGAGATCCAATTGAAACTTTAAGCGATAAATCTATGATTTAAAGTTTAAACGCCTGGAGTGGAACAGGGCCTATCGAATCAACAATGCTTTGTATCCGTTGTTAAGGACGCTTTTAGTCATAGAATCGCAGGCACAAGCTGCAAATATATGGTTTAATTAATGTAAAATAAATATGCTATATAAAAGGCGAAATACAGTTGCTAACGGGCAATCAATATATAATAATGAGCTAATACATTTAAATAACATATCAATACTTGTACTTATTATTGCTTTCTTAAATTGATGTTTCATTTAGATTAAAAATTTAGAAATTGTGGAATTAGTATCCGTTGTAAGATGATGTTAAATTGGGATTAGTGAAATGTTTGAATTTTAAATAAGATAACTTTTCGTTAATCAATTTGAATTTGATGAGGTTTTTAATAATTTTTTTATTATACAAACAATCGTCAATATTAAAATAAAAATAAAACTTTATCATTTTTAATTTTTATCCTCAATCAAATATGAGTTATCTTATCATAACGTGAAATAATTAAAAAGAAATAAATAAATGGAAAAAAAATCTGAGGATCTGACATCGAACAAAAGATTTTGTGTGGTTGATTGTTAAATTCAATTGTAAAGTTTTTCAGCTAACACACAACTGTAAAAAATGTATCAAAATCAAAGCTATTATACAATTTTAATAAACACTTATCTTATTACAATTCAAGAATATTGTAATTAAACATAATTTTCATCTTTTTTTTATTATTCTTTAAAAATCACGATCTGACAGACGCAGAAACTGTTACAAGCATGCAAGGCAGTAGTACAAAATTAAACAAATAAGTAAATAAATAAATAAAAAAACGGAGAGAAAAATGTTTAAACATGAAAAATAAAATAACTTTAACGGCAAGATTGTTTATATTATGGTTGTTAAGATAATAATATAATATAAACAATCTTGCCGTTAAAATTTTTAAAAATCGCGTTTTATATTGTTTATAGTTATTAAATTTATTTTATTGGTTTTCTGTTTTAATTAAATAATTTATATAAATTAATAATTACTTGTTCCTTTATATCAAATATCTTACATACCTTATATATAATGCACTGAAGATGAGTTATATATAACTCGAAATAGCTATTTGCAAATTTATTTAATAAAAATTTTTTTAAAAACAATAATATGTCTAATTTCTCTGAAATTAATAAATTAAAAAGAAATATAAAAAAGTTGAACAATGTTGAAAGTAGTGTTGAATTTTTGATATATATATATATATATATATATATATATATATATATATATATACATACATACATATAAAAGACTGTCGTAGATACAATTGTTTAGAAAGGTAACTGCATTTTCAGCTTTGATCAGTTTCTGATGATTCAATTTTTCAAGAAACTGATCAAAGCTGTAAACGACGTGATATTTCTCAACAATATATATATATATATTTACAATATTCTATAAATTCTACCGAATGTTTGGCGTTAATATGTTTGTAGTTCGTTTTTTCGATTTTTCTCACTAAAGTTTTTTGGTGAACGTTTAGTTTATTAAAATTCAAAATAAACTTATTTTTCGAATTCATGCTGCAAATAAGGCCATATTTCGATTCCGAATGAATCATCGTCAGGGTTGTCATTTTTTGTTGTATATTTATTTTTGGTTTATTGATGTATGAAAATAAATATACAACAAAAAATTACAACCTCACTTCCAACCCGGCGCTTAACCAACAACGAAAACAAAGAAGTAATAAAAACTAGCATCGTAACAAAGAAGAGTATGATGCTATCGATGAAGAAAAGGAGACCAAAGAAGATGACCAGCCAATTAAAAAACCTAACACCTAATTCGCATCAAAGTTCAATTTTACAACACCAAAGTTAATTTTTACAA